ACCAGGGAGAAACACCATTTTCTTAAGTCAGTTGCGGGAAGCCTGTTCTCAGAACTGCAGCCCCTGCCTGTGGGCCCAGTACAGGCTGGGCCTGTCCAGCGAGGCTCTCACCAGACTGTGAAGCTCTATTGTCCTTTCCACAAGACCAGGCTGCACACCGCTGGTGAGGGTGTCCCCATTTGTGCTTACAGGCCTACTTGTCTTTCAGAATCAGTTGTCTGGGAACCTGCTGAGGAAATTCAAAAACAGCAATGGGTGGCAGAAGCTGTGGGTGGTATTCACAAACTTCTGCCTGTTCTTCTACAAATCACATCAGGTGCGTGTCTCACACAGGGCAAGTGGCCCTGTGACCTTTGGGACGAGGTATTAGGGTGTGGGCCCATGTAGCAGTTTTCCTCCACAAGGACAAAGAACTTTGCCCTTGAGCCACCGAGCCAGGTATGAGAAAGGGGCCTACAGGAGAAGGGTGTGTCCATGAGACTTTCGCTCCGAAAGAAAGCTGGCATTATCCATTTGCTGAAGGACTACTTCAGCCTTGAAAAGGGCCATCTGTCTTCTTGGGGCGGGGGGTGGGGGGAATGACAACTTAATTGATGGTTCATGGCCTGGATACACTAGCTGGACCACAGTGCATTGGCCCAGACCAGCTTTGGGGTAAGAGGCTGCAGCCAAGCTCAACACCTGTGGCTGCCTCTGCAAAGCCACCTTCTCTTAACCTCTCTTAACCTTTGCCAGGACAATCACCCCCTCGCCAGCCTGCCTCTGCTTGGATATTCGCTCACCATTCCCTCGGAGTCTGAGGACATCCACAAAGACTACGTGTTCAAGCTGCATTTCAAGTCCCATGTGTACTACTTCAGGGCTGAAAGTGAATACACGTTCGAAAGGTAAACGTCCCCCTCTGCCCAGGACACTCTTCTAACCCTGACATTTGCTTAGAGTAACTCTGAAGTCCCTCTGCCAGAGTCCATTTGTGTTCTCACAGAAGCAAGTGGAACCATGTTTCTCCTGGGAAATCACCTCAGTCCTTAACCTGTACAATGTTAGTTAATGCCACGCACGTTGCACTTTTAAATCTCTAATGTGAGTTTTTTCAGTCTATAGATTCATTGTTTAAGTCCCAATATTCCTGATTGGGCTACAGGAATATTTGTAGAAGGCTGTTTCTGGTCAAAAGACCACATTAAGAAGGGAAAGAATCCTATTGCTTCTCAGAGTTATCTCCTTAGTGAAAACTGCCTAACGAGACCCAGGGACAACAGTCTTAGCCAAAAAACAGAAGTCAAATGGGAAGATCCAGGCTCTCACATTTGACCAGTGGTTTGTCTGTTTCTGAAATTTTAAGTGCAAATTTTGGGCCTCTGGAAGTACACCCTCTAGTAGGCTGCACAAGCAGTTGCACCCTTAAACCACCACCTTTGGGGGTCCTCAAGACAGAAGTCACCCCACCCCGCACACATTTAGGGAGAAACTTCTCTCCTGGCCATGCCGTGACGGGACCATAACTTGTTCCCTCACTACCCACTGACACCCCCACACAAGGGTTTCTAACCCATGGGCCACTTGTGATCTGTGCACAAACCCTAATAAAATTAGTTCAATGAAAACAGCACAGCGGTTTAAAGCCAGAGCTGAAACCTCCCCATGACATCCCAAAATAGCAGCCTGTAAGCTATACTGCTTCAGTATATACTCCAAGGGGCTAAAAATTCGCAAATTTGATCCTGGACTGGTAAATTCATCTAAATTGAGATATTGTCACTGTTGTAGCAAGGATAATTTAGCCTTGCAGTGGCGAGATCCTGAAAAAGCCTGTGATTACGGAATGTCTAAAGCCAATCTATAAGCTTCACGAATGCAGGAAGCTTGGCAGACCCTCAGCACAGTGGACATTTTAGACCAGATAATTTTTGGTTAGGGGGGAAGGTGGGGTCTCTCCTGTGTACTGGAAGATGTTTAGCAGCATCCTTGACCTTTACCCACTAGGTGCCAGTTGTACCCTGTCCCCACCATTATGACAACCAAAAATGTCTCCAGACAATGCCAGCATCCCCAAAACCTAATCAGTATGCCACAAATACTCAAATGTATAAAATGGAACTCCTACTAAGCAGGATAGGCTGTCCACCGCTGCTGGTGAGAAGGAAGAGGAGGCAGAGTTCTAAACCTTACCTCTAACTGCTCTAAATGGAATGTGCTGCTGCTGCATCACCTGGCAGGGACACTTCTGAGTCTAGAAAATGAGCACACCCAGGTCAATGGTTCTCAAACTGTGTTCCTCAGGAACCCTTACACTTACATTGGGTGCTAAGAGTTCATTTAAACTCTTCTGCTAAAATGTCAGATTACAAACCAAGCCCATATTACTTTATGCTGTGGTTTCCTAAGTAATGACTGCCCAGCATCATGAAACTGTTACAAAATTAAAAAAAAAAAAAAAAAATCAGACAAAATTTGTAAAAAGTGGTCTTTGACAGCTGTTTCGCTTTCTTGTTTTAGGTGGATGGAGGTGATCCGAAGTGCCACCAGCTCGGCTTCACGTGCCCACATTCTGAGTCACAAAGACTCTCATGTGTATTGATGGCAGGACATATTTGTTGTTTCAGCAGTGGCTACTTTCCTGGAAGACCTTTACTTTTTCTCCTGTATTAATGAAGCCTAGTAAAATTAACCTGTCTGGAAAACAAAAACATGGTTTTACAGCAACTCTCATCTGTCGCCGCAGAACCGTTTTTAACCTTGTCTTTTCAGCTGTTAACCTCGCATCTGAATGGAACAGTGCTCCCACCTCCAGTGCTGGTGGCACTTTGTCTGTCATTCTCTTGCTGGGCTCTTTAGCTTGTGCCAGTATTAAAACACTGTCTTAATACAGTGCCAAATGACCATTTTTCCTCCATAACTGCACCTTAAAAGCAGTACAAACACATCCATTCAACCAAAAGACAGGGCAAGCACCCTTCTTTTTATAGGCTGCTGCATTTTAAATAATGGACTTTCCAGTGTTTGTGATACACATGGCACAGTCTTAAGCAAATTAGATCATTTTCAGATTTTGGGTTTTTTTTTTTTTTTCAATCTTTCTACTTTTATAATAAAAGGAAGTTAGGTTTACTCCTTTGATTAATAAGCAATTTGCAGCACACTACGTTCCACTCTGGGGTCTTGTGCCCCAATAAAACGCTGGTTACCAGACCTACTTCTTGGCGCAAATTGACCAAACTGTTTGTGATTATTATTTACAAACTGTAGCGGGTGGTTTTCTGTTGAGAAAGGCAGAAATCCAGTGTGGTATCTAGACTATCGCTGTACTGTGAGTGGTGTATACAATGGGAAGATACTAAGCTGTGGTGTTTTGCTGTCTGTTTCACGAGCATGAAAACCTGTATGTCAGTGATCAGGGCCGTTTGTGATATGTTACATTATGGAGAGTTTTTGTGAGCTTCCAGTGGATGCAGAAGCACTATAAATAATGGTGCATAGTCCCCGCGCCCATTATCATACCTATCTATATCCTACTGCAACTGTGGTTTGGGACTGTGCATTCAATAGTAGTATATATATTGTGCCTGTCTTCAAAAAATCTTTTTCTTTTTTATACTCTTCCCTTCCCCCAAGTATGGGGTATCAACAGTATAACATTGCACACCCTTGACAGCTGGACCACACAGGGAACGTGGTTTCCAGTAACTGCTGGGGCCCACTCATCAAAATCCGTTTGCCTATTCTCTACGGAGACTGGGTGGCTGCTACTCCCTAGTGTTCTTAAGCCCTTTCTGATGCAGTCCAGAGAGGACGACCAATCCAACAGTTCTCTTCCACTGCCCTGCACCACAGCTGGGAAAGGCCCTTCCCTGAGCAACACGGGACTAAGCAACCCCGACTCTGTGGAGTGACTGACTTATGTGGGAACGACAATGTACAAATGGACAAGTAGCTTGAGATGTGTTAATCATTTGCCTTACAATATGTACCAGACGGTTTTAAATACTAACTAAAGGGAATAAAAATACCTCACGCCACAATCCAGCATATTGAAGTTTTAAGGCAAAACAACCCACCTTGTCTCTTGTCTTTATTTTCATCTAATTCCGGTGGGTTGGTGCCTCAGCAGACGAGGGGCAGAGTTGGCTGGTCACTGCAGGGTGGGTGTGAAAGAAAAACAAGAGATGCAACCACTCATGAAGACAAACATGTTTTGAAAAACTTGGTATTTTAAAGTCTGAGACTAATCATCAGTGACTATGAAAGGACTAAAACCCAAGGGAGGAGGGTGAAGTAGAGAGGGAAGGGCTACCTGCCACTTCCTTTGTGAAAGGGGCCTGGGGACAAGCTTCTCCCACATCCCAGGGGCAAGACCAACATCCTGAGAAGGTGACACTCAAGTGTATTTTACCCCAGTCACGAAGATGGCAGAGGCATTATCAGGAAAATTCTCCCTCCAGAAGACAGTAAATTCTACAAGGCTTGGGGATGAGGTTGTATATTTCGGTATTTCTGAATGATTCTAAACCATCTGCTGGACACTTCCAGTTGAGATCTATGAGTAACATCTATGCTCCCCTGTGACTTCAAAGGAAAAGTCCAACTCACATGCAATTTAGACTGCTCCCAAGCTGTCAGGAAGTGTCAGAGCTACCTTCTTAGCCCATTCAGGATACTATAACAAAAATACCATAAACTGGGTGGCTTACAGACACAACAACTTTCTTACCGTTCAGAAGTCTGGGAAGTCCAAGATCAAGGTGCTGGCAGATGCAGTATCTGGTGAGGAATTTCTTCCTGGTTCACAGGAATTTCTTCCTGGATGTGTCCTCATGGTGGAAAGGGCGAAGGATCTCTGTGGAATCTAAGGGCACTAACCCCATCACAAGGGCTGCACATTCACGACATAATTGCTTCCTCCTAATACATCACGTTGCACACAGGATTTCAACACAAAATCTGGGGGAAAACATTCGGTCTATTCCTTCTCCACACAAGACACAAAATTACAAAAATAATTGTTTTCTGTGAACTTTATTGACCCTTGTGTGACACAGTACCTGTGCTTAACACGCCTTGCAGCACTCCCCATTTATTGCCATATTTTATAGCAGAAATACAGAAGCATATTTTTAAAGAAGGAAATATAAAAATGCTTATAAACAGACCATATGTTTTGCCAAATAAAAGGTACAAAATGCTACATGAAGAATTAGACACTTCACAAGACCAACTCGAGAACAAAACTGTCAGAATCGGAAGGTATGTGGCACTTGGTAACATCAAGACAATCACGAGACTGACTTGTTAGCGGACCAAGACACCCCAGACCACACTGGTGGCCATCTTGCTAAGTGCAGCCATCTGGGCCACACACACAAGACAGCTTCAAAAAGGCATGACCAGCCAGACACAGCCAGCCCACTGCCTGTTTCCAAAAGCTGGTAACCATGCTGTGTGAAGCCGTTGCCCACACTAGGTGCACCACCACTGTCTGCAGTCTCTCGGTGGATAAGCTGTTAACTGCTGGGGTTTGGCACTGAGAGACTTCCGAGTGTTAGTGAATCCATCTTGAATGTTGGGCTGGCTAAAGATCAACAGCAGTTTGTATTGTCGGAAGCAGGTCCCATCGTAGCTCTGGTATATGGTCTGTCTTTTAATACAGGGCTTGAAGTGGATACACAAATATGCTAGCTTCCTTAAAAACACATCAGCTGAGTTTGTGTGTTCACAGAAAGTCACAAATCAGAAGAAACTGTATATGGATGTAATCCACTTTTAAAATACAGTCCAACCACATCTTCCCCAGGAAGCTTAATCAACAGAAGATAATTCCAATAAACTCTAAAAGAATAATTTGCTGCTTCATCCAGGAGACGGTGTTGTATATTATAGTCTAGTGATTGCAGAATACCTGACCATTTGCACCAATATGCTTAACTGGAATCCAGTCTATCTATGAGCATAACCCATTACTTGTATCTGAGATTGGCTTTAGCTTCAGTCTTGATGTCAGTGTCTACTTGCAAATTTTAAGAACTCTGAATCGGAAAGCTGCTGTCCATGTTATCTGTCTTAAAATCAGACAAGCACTTTAGGGGAACACTGCTCATTCTTTTGAGTGATTCTCCTGCAATGAACAAAACTGATCTTTGGCTTATGTCTCACACAGGGAAAATCAACAGTTCCCTTATACAGAATACTCTCAGAAACACAAAATACTTTCAAAATTTATTTTTCAAGTTAACATTCTTGCTGCAGAATAACACGCACAATAAGAATTAGCTATTCAATTCTATTTCCCCTAACCAAAATGTATCCTTAATAGAAATTAATTCAACCCAAATCTACTTCTAATTAAAAAATCACAATTTAATTTTTGAATTTAAAAGTAGACTCAATTAACAAACTAAAAATAACCACCCACTCATATGTCTCTGACTCAGGCCTCTGTCCTCTACTTGTAACCTCCAGGCCACCGGGCTGGCACATGTGTGACCTTCCATCCTGAAGTTTCCTCAGTAACTTTCTTGCTTCCAAAAATCCTTGTCTTCCCCAAGAACTGATACTCCGACAAGAGATGACAATAATTCATATCAACAACTACACAAGTACCACGCATACTTATTTCAGACAGTCAAGAATTGCTATACATGGACTCTTATTTCCCATACCAGAGACCCAGAGATTTATTTCCCCCCTTGGCAAGCAAGACTCTGCCAAGGAAAATACAGACATCTGCCTTGACAAGTCGGCAAACACAGGCTCCTTTAAGAGAACAAAACAACCCTTATTTGAGGTTCCTGGAGAGAGAGCAATTTTACAAATCAGCCATAATATTCAACCATATCTTCTTAATGACCAATTTTTAAAAGTTGCATAGGGAACTGACCTAAACATTCAGCATTTTGAATGTGGGCACTTCTTCCTATAACGTTCTAAAATGTCTCACCCACACGCACAACCACAGGCACACACAAACACGCGGCAGGTGTCCTGCCCTCTCAAGAGTCGTTTCAAGGAGAGTATGCAATGTGAGTGTTATAAAATTTATTCGTGTAGGCATTCAGACATTTTTCGGTGGGAAAGATGATATGCAAATTTCACTACAAGGTGCAATGAAAATCATACTGGAAAGAATGGTACGGCTGGCGTAGGACTGGCAGTGGCACGATTCCAAACGGACGTTAGATGAGAGCACTTCATTGGGGAGAAACTTAAAATAATAATTTAAAGCTTTATGAGGCAAGTTATGTTCCAATTTAAAACACTAAGAAATAGTACCATCAATGAAAAAGGAACTCCTAAGTGTACCAAAAGGGTTGTAGGGCAACAAAAGGAAAATTTGCATTTGAGGTACAAATAGGAGTATTCCATAAGAGGGGCATCAATTATTATTAATGGCAAACCCTGCAAATACAAAAAAAAAAACCCAAATCACTGGTCACATAATTCAAAATTTACATGTAATAAAGGCAAGGCAATAGACTCAAGTTATATGGCCTGTCGAATATTTACTCCACTGACATTATCTACAGAAGCACTTGGCCAATTTGTACACAGTGATTCCTTATGCACGCCAAAAGGGTTTCTGTAAAAATGACACTATATACAAATCTGTACACTGATCCACCAGAGCAATCTCCGTCTCCCGGGGAGGGAGTTACAACTTAAAGCAGGATACCTGAGGTTTCGTTTCTTCGGTTGCCTTATCATAATCCCAAATATACATTTCAGGGTTTGTTTTTAAAGACACTTTCCTTGATATGTGCACTATGGTTACAATTAAAAACAAGAATAATAAAATAAAATGATCGCTTGAATGAGTTGACCCTCCCCACCCCATCTGGAGACTTATCTAGCCAAGGCCGGCAAGAAGGGCCATGTGGCCCTAGACAGGAAACCTCGGCTGGGGGTACAGACCCTCGATGGCACATCTCTTCAGCGGAATCAGCAAAGGCCCTCGTTGACTTTTTTTAAAGGAGAAGAATGAAGAAGAAAAAAGGAAAAACAAAACCCCAAATGCCAAAGGAATTTCAGTGCGATGAAGTTCCTCCACCACTTAGAGAGTATCTAGGGAAAAAAAAAAACAAAAAGAGAAACATTAGTAAATGTCACTTCTCCAAATTAAAAAATTTGCAAAAATTCAAACAAAATCTTAGTTTTTATAGACAATCCCAAGTCCTAAAAAATTAAGTCAAGCGACTATCCATGAATTAAAGAATTCATAAAACTAAAAAATTTATGTGTATAAACTTATACACAGTTTTACACAATTTCCAGAAATGAAAAAAATTAGATAAGTTCATGGCTTACATATAACAATGGAAGGCAATGCATCAAAAATGATAACGATAATGGTAATGGGCTAGGGTGGTGAGATCGAATATACTTCCTTCTGTCTTCCAGTGATTCCACAGTATTGTCTTGCTTTGGAACACAAAAAAAGTTAGCAGTAGAGGGAGTCCTCTCATGGCCAAGATTCTCTTAGCCACCTCAAAAGTGACCCATTCCCAGGAGATGACAGAGGATGTGTTTAATGAAACTTACTGCAAACATTCCATCCTAAGAGCTTCTCTGTTAAGGCATTTAAAATACTCAGCACTTTCCCAGAGAATAAATAGTAACATAAGATCCTCCCAAAAAGCATGCATTAGCCACAGATCCTAAGACTCACTTTCCAAGAACATAAATGCCTAGGTCATGGGAAGAGTTGATGCCACACAAAAAGATCTACATATTAATTCAACTAAAATAGAGAGGAAGCTTTTGACATGATTCAGACAAAAGTCAGTTCTCATTTTTTGAAGTGACCCACTGAAGTAATGCATTTGGGAGTAAAATGAATATGAAACATAAGCAGTAATGGCGAACTGGCATCTGGCGGCATCTGGGTAGGGGACACATAGAACTTGGAGAGCCCAAAAGGTGTCAATGGATGGCACCAGTCAAGGCCTGTGGGAACCAAATAAGAACCCCAAGAGTAGTGTCATCTGATAGCTGAGGATTAGAGAGTGGGTTCACATGTCAAAAAGGAAAGAAAACTGAGAAAGAATTGTCTGGAGATGAGAAGAAAGAAAGAATACTGACTCAGTATGTCTAGCACATCGCTGGGAAGTAAAACTTCAAACAGTGTAGACAGCGGATAGTTATATTTACATTACATATGACCACCAAGCACCTGAAATGTGGCAAGTTCACACTGAGGTGTGCTGTGAAGTAGAAACACACACAGTTGCAAAGACTTAGTACTAAAACAAATGTGAAATACCTTAGTGATCATTGTTTATATTGATTACATGTTAAAGGTAAGATTTTGGTTTAGTTTCACTTGTTTGAGATTTAAAGTTTTTAAATGAGAAATAAATGTCACTAAAATGAAGTGTGAAGTGACAGCAAGTTTCTTTGAGAAATCAGAAAAAGGGACCATTATAGGAATGATACTACTACAAAACATTCAATGAATAACAAAGCTATGTCAGAAATTAACTGCATATACATAATGGGTAGATACAAACAAACATGGTAACAATGACTATGTCTAGATAAGCATGTGGTATCTTGACTTTTTTTATCGTTTTCCTTTACTCCTGCAATTCACTGAGAAGAGAGGTGGATAATAATTCTGACTATTGCCTCTAAACTAAAGGCAACCAAGTAAACCAACTTTATTCTCTGGCCTAAACTTTACTTAGAGCAAGTCAGAAAGTTGGGATGTCTTTTATGAAGGAAGCTGAGAGTTCAGGAGAATAAACCTGAAGGGTCAGAACTGCGATTTTCTCTTGAGATCCCATTTTAAAGGGAGTCTTCACAAGATATTGGGCAGCCCCTTTAATCACTTCTAAGAAGTGGCAAAAGTGACCTCACATACCAAACTTCTTCCTGCACTGTCAAGTTGACACCTCAGACCCGAAACACTCCTAACTCTCATCAAGCCTCTGCCACCCTTTGATAAGGGCGTGGTAGCCTGGACAGGTCACCCGGAAGGTGAATTTCAAAGCAATGAATGACATGCCTCGTGCTTCAGGAGTGTTGAGGTTTGGTGTGTGAAGGAGAGATCGAGCCACATGGCTGCAGCACGGCACACCTCCACTCTCTTAGCACCCCCAAACGACTGTACTTATGCTGGGGTGGCAGTCAGAGTGACCTCCACAAGGAGACTCCTAAAATGAGTTCAAGAGACTGGGTTGCAAGGTCCAAATTGTCACCCCCACTTAATCCTCACCCTAGAGTACGTGCAGCACCAGTACGTGCAGGGCCACTGGGGTGAGGGGGTGGACAGGGAGCACTCTGCAGGATGCACTGCTGTCACAACAAGGCAAGAGGCAGAGTCAAGAACTGGCACAGACACCCAAGGAAAAGAACATGCCCATGTCCGTTTTCACTGAACTCACCAAGCCCCAGCTTCTGGAGTTTTGGTCACTCGACTTCGCAGCATAAAACAAAATGGAGTTACAAACATCTGGCTAAACACTGTACTTCTCTGGCTGATAACTAGGCTGCAACATTAAGAGCAAACAGATATCTTAAAGACATTCTGTTTTTATGTAGCAAGAGCTACAACTGCACAAAGTTCGCAGTCCTTCCCAGTTGTTTCCAGATTCCTATCATTCATTCATACTGATTTCTACAATTCAAAACAAGAAGGTAACAGGAACAAACTTGGAACAAAGTGCCAAACTAACAAATGGAGGATAGCTAGCAGACCATCTGTAGGTGTCCTACAGCCAACCTAAGAAAGCCACAGGGCAAACACGGTGTGTTTCCATGGGCTCTCCCTTCTGGAGACAGCAACCTTGGCTGAGGGAATACTGGCAGCAGTTACCTCTGGAGCCGCTGTACGAGCTGTGCCACCATGGTGTCCGAGATCCCGGGGCACGCTTCTTCCGCCAGGTAGATGGCCCCTCGCAGTTCTTCTATGGACCCCATGTTTCCTCCGCACGCCTGGCTCTTCTCCTTCAACTTAAAACAGACAAACGTGAAGAGCATGATACACACGGGCATCTATTTTAAAAAGTAACAACGTGTGGACCATAACTGCTCCAGCCACGAGTCCTGGCTTCAGCTCAGCCACTTGATCACTTCCCATTCCTTTCAACGAACAGCTTTCTGAATGCTGAGAACGCTGTATATAACAAGAGCGTTAGTCAGACTTAAGTCCCTCCCTTCATTGGAGTGAAGAGAGACAACTAGCTTTCTGTGCACCTTTTCAAAATCTGATCATGGCAGTCGGCCTCCCCTGGTTTTCTGTTTCAACCTTAATTTTACAATATTATTCAACGTTAGTTTCTATACTGAAGCTACAATATAATCTAAAGCTTACTGATGTTAATGGTTGGTTCTTAGATACCAACAAACTGCCTTTTGGTTCTGTCTCATCAAATATTCTATTTCATGTAAATAAATTGTTGTTCTAAATTTTGGGAACCTGCAATGTCCCTCTTGGTACCTCTACTCCCACATGAAACTATGACAATGTCTGCAAGGCACCTTGCTCACTTTAAGATCAACTCAGTCTCTTTCTGGGATGCAACCAAAACATGCAAAAGGGAAGTCGCTCAAGTCAAGATGCAGCTGAGAGGACTGACAGCTTCTTGGAACAGGATCCAGTTGACAGCTGCAGAGAAAACAGACACTACCTCCTCGTCAGAAGTCCCCCTCCTCAATTTTATCTTTAAGAAATAGTTTGCAAAGCAGCTTTGACTTTTCAAGCTGTCATGAACACATGCTGTCATTCCCAGCATCAGTCTCATAAAAACAATGGCTTCTCCCTGCTCAAGGCACATACAGAAGAACTGGAAAGGCTTGGGGTGGGAGTGGCTGGCGGGGCTGAGGATGTCTGCTCAGCACTTCCCACCAGAGCAGTTGTTCCTATGTTTTCTTCATAGACTGAAACACAGCCACTCTAGAGACAGTCACTGTGTCTGTATAGGACTCCTAATCATTTAACAACTAAATAGTAGTCCTTACAAGTCCTGAGTGACCTGCAACATACCACTCTGTGTCCCTGCCATGTCCTACAGCTTCCTTCTTCCACTGCCCACACCGCCCTGGGACCCCACAAGGTAGTTCCTTTGCTCCAATGCTGCTGGATGGGCTCTATCCACCCAGCCTGAGTGAGCTACCTGGGCACACACTGAGTGATGTCAAGGAATGTCCTCATCTGCAGATGTAGAGAGAATGACTGCTACTGAGTTTTATGAGTATTATATAAAACAATGCACACTGAACACTTTGAGTATCAGGTTATCAAATATTAATAATAAAAACATAAGATGCCTGTGAGTTTAGGTTAGCTGGAAAAAAATGAAAACATTATTACATTTAGGATTAATTCATTAATTCTGAATGATTTAGAAGTTTCTTCATGTGCTCAATAAAAAGTAAACAGCTTCAGACAAATGAGAAAATCTATGCCATTTTCCCTAATTGTCTGATTGATTCTAGTAAAGTAGCAATGGAAAGACAGCAGGAAAGCAAGGGAGCATCTAGAAATCTGAAGGACTAATCCCCCAAACAGACAAATGAGCAAAATGGGGTCTTATGGACATCCCAGGAAGAGCGCAGGTGTACCCAGAAGAATCAGCCAAGGCTGCAGCCAGAAAAAGACACAGAAGGGGCCTCTACCTGCCCTGTGCCATTTAGTTTTCAATCTAAAACCAGTGTGTTCAGTGGTTCCAACCCTGTACCTCAGGCTCTGGCCACAGCCCTTTAGTTGGGCCCCAGTCTCCCAGGCTGGGAGGGAGGGCCCTTAGGCAAGCTTGTGAAGGCAGATGCTGGGCTGGGCAAGGGAAGGAGCCTAGAGGAGGGGCCAGAAGAGGGAACAGGACAGAGGCTGGCTTGGAGCACCCTGGGCCCTGCCAAGGTGAAGGCACCGTGTGACTGAGGCTCAGGCCAAGTGGAGCGTGGGAATGAGACTGTGTGTGGCACTTCCTTCCCACCTTAGACCACCCACCTTAAGTCTGAGGTCTCTTGGTATAGCCTCCCTGGGGAGCACTGAATCACCACACAAACAAAAGGCACTGACTGGTACAACTCATCTGAATTACCTTAAAGGTCACCTGAGCCAGGAAGGGGCATAAGAAAATGAGAGAAAGGAATATTTCCCACTTTTGTTCAAATCAGCTACTAACCAGATGAAAAATAATCTTCATTCTCACAAAATCTATTCTTAAAACATCTCAAAAAGCAATTATGCATACAGATATCTACTAGGGGGCGGGGCGTTCCCAGAGATGGCACAGGATACAGTCAATCACAGAACAAGGGACTGAAATGGGCCGCTCGCCTGAAAGACAGATGGCCCTGCTAGGTAAGGTGACTGCACTGGGTACTGAATAAGAAGTAAGGTTAATCTGAGGGCTCAGTGGGGAGCACGAGGACTCCAGGGAATCCAATGTCCCCTTTAAAATAGAAATACACTATTTACATTGCCATAAATTTGTCTGAGGCAGATAGATCAAGCTGCACCCAAATCAATATTGTAGAAAGCAGTACAAGTGAAGTTAAAAATCACTCTGGTAATGTATGGACTTGGGCTGAGTTGCTGATGTCCCATCTGTACGCTCAAGGCAGCAACACAGTTACTCTTAACCAAGAGGGGCTGGATTCCAGCTGGCTTTATTGGAGTATAAAGCACACTCTTCTGCTTGTTCTAATTTCCCAACGTTGTCACAGAAGGAGTGTCCTGCTGTCCTATTCTTCCTCTCTCACCCCCCGCCAAAAGTCAATTGGGTATCTTACCTCTGCAAACAGAGGAGAAATAATTGTAGATAAACACTGAGAGAAAGGCCTCTTTGGGATATCTTTCATCTTAGGAAAAGAAAAAAAAAAAAAAGGTAATTAGAAATATTTAATATTCATATTCACAATAATTCAATAAACTTCAGACATGTGCTATCCAAGCATAAAGTCTGCAATGTTCTATTTACTATAAAATCTGAACAGGACTATATTACTATCCTTCATTAGACTATAAAATGGCGAAACCACAGTGTCTGGATTCCACACTGAAAGGTACTAGAGGCCCATGAAGTGGCATTCTGTGTGGATGCAGGCAGCGCTGAACTGCACCACTGTGCTATCTATGTAGGAGGACTTTACTAATGAAACCCTGGGTCTACGGCCATGCCACTCTGAACAAGCCTGATCCCGTCTGATCTTGGAAGCTAAGCAGGGTCGGGCCTGGTTAGTACTTGGATGGGAGACCACCTACGAAGACCAGGTACTGTAGGCATAAAAAATAAAAAATGAGGGATTGTAAGCTGATAAGGTCCTTATAATCTATAAGGTCAACCGAGGGTTCCCTCGCCTAAAAAAAAGGAAAGAAAAGAAACCCTGGAAATGGAAATCAGATCAGAGCTGCCTACTCCAAGTGGCTGTTGTAGAACAGTGGCCTATTTCTTACTTTTGCAACCTCTATCTGAACACATAATGACTCCCACTCTGCTTATCAAAGCAGGACTTACAGGATCAACAAGGGACAACTACTGGTCCACACTGCCTGAGAAACTACGCCGCTGTGCTTTAAAAGCTGTATTATTTATCCTAATAATACAGCTTTTTGTAAACTTAAAATAAGGCATCTATTAATTAATCAAAATAAAGTTTTATATAAAGACCAAAATCAATGCATCTGTTTCTAAGTTCTTTAAATAAAACTTAATCTCAAAATTCTAGTACCTTATATGAATAACCCTGTATGCAAAACAGGCATAGTCCTATCAAGAGAGCTAGAAAGTCATTTCATATGTGAAACCTCATCCCCCTCTCCATAACCAATGAATCCCACTGTATGTCCAAGTGTCAGGAAACGCTGACTCCACAGCAGGACAGCATGCCTACACAGAGCAGAAATTAGCACTGTAGGTCTGACACTGAGTAATCAGACAGAACAAAATCTCTTGCTCTGTTGATTCAACAGCAGCAAAATTCCAGAACAGGCTGCCATTAGAGACCACTTAGCCCACTAATGCAGCAGGCAGGCTTCACAAAAAGTAACTAAAAAAATGCTTTTGACCGATGACAAGTGTTACTCTAGGATAATCGTACCTTATTTCTTTCTAAATCCGAAGGCTGAAGAGCTCCATTCTCAAGACTCTTTGGATCTTTCTCTCGGATTGTGAAGATCCAGTCCCCAGCGTCGCTGCCTCCAGATGCTTGGCTGTCCGTGTCTGTTTCTCTTAATACATAAATCCAGGAGAACTCTGTGAGTGAGTGTGCTGTCTCTGCAGGAGACTTCACGGAGGAGATCTACTGGTGGCCTCTCAATCTACGTTCTCCAACTCCAACTGAGCACTGAACACTGCCCATCTATCTACCCATGCATGCATGTATGCCTTCTGTCTCACGCCACGCCTACTTCCAATTTTCCCCACTTCCAACCAATCACATCCGCCTCCAGTCCCCCTTGGACTTTCAGAAGACAGCCCTGTCTTCTACTTCACAGAGAAGAAAGACCATCAGAATGTGGTTACCACAACTTCCCACAATGCCAACTGCATCCACATCCATCTCTCCCATCTCCTCAAATGGAAAGCAGCATCTCTTCTTCTGTGGAACAATCCTCTACTCCACTGACAGCCCCTCTTGGATTTTTCTCCCCTTAGACTCCTTCCCATCCACTTTCAACATACATCCTTTTGCTCACTCACACAACCTACCTGCTAGCTACAGCCAGTGTCTCCACATTTCTTGGATGTATTACCTACACTCACTGCCTTCATTCCTTACCTTCCACTCACTCTAAAACTTACCCGTCTGCAACTGCTATGACTAAGGCCACCAATCATCTGCATACCATTAGACAAGGGCGTTTCTGGTCAGTACTCATCTTGCTCAAACCCTCAGCAGCAATGATCCTACTGATCACTCCCTCCTCTTCTAGACTCCAAATTCCTGGGGCTGCACGACATCTGAATTTCCTCTGACCCAAATCATTCTCACATTCATCCTTTATGCTGGCATTTCCTAGGATTTGGTCGTAGGCTTCGGGCCCTTCAAATTCTGAAGATATGCTCTTAGTGGCACCATTCATTCTCATATACAAAGTGGTGACTCTAAATCTGTATCATTTGCCTAGACATCTCTTCTGAACTCCAAACCTTGATGTCACTCTATACTGGACACATCCTCTTGGACATCTGTCAGCAACTCAAACATGTCTCATACCAAACTCAGCCTCCTGTACCCTGGCCTCCCCAAAACAGCTTCTTCTCCAATATTGCCATCTCAACAAAACCCATCACACTGCTCAAGTGTGAACTGTCTGTACCTCCTTTATCCAAATCCATGGCCACATCTGTATTCATTGCTCATCTTTTCACTCTCATTGCTACTACCCTAATTTCTCAAAGTCTTGACCTCGACAAATCCCCAGCCAGTGGTTCTCACTCTTGGCTTTACAAGGGGACCCTGAAAATACACTTGGGTCTCATCCCCAGAAATTCAGATTCAACAGACCTGGCTTCTTCTTTCACGTCAGAGCCATCAGCTTTCCTGATCCCATGTACTGAAATGGCATCTATACCTAATTCAGCTCTTTAGCTAACAAAATTCCTAGATGCTTAACTTGATGGGAGTTTTTGGTTTATTTACCAAAAACTTCCTAGTATAGAGCTTTTATAATAATGCCAAGCTCTACCAGAACAGAACACAGAATCATAAACACAAATTTATATCTTCTTTAAAATACATTTAAAGCAGTTTCATTTGATCAGTTTCATTTTAAGAGTAGGAAGTATAATGAAAAAAAAAAAAAGAAACTGGGTCAAGTTCAGTTTATGCAGTTTTATCTCACAGAATTTACTCAGAAAAACTTGACTGGCAATAAAAAGAGGCTAAAAGACTCCCAGATGGTTCCACACTAACTCAAGGAGCACCATCGACCTGGATTATCTAAAAAAGAAAAAGGAAAAGGAAAGGAAAGGCAGAAAGGCAAGGGGAGGGAAGAAAAGAAACTCAAAGCCCATCCTAAAGAGAAGACTAGAACAAACAGGCCACATCCCGCATACTATGCACCTCAAGCACAGCGCAGGGGCTCATGGACACGCTGCTCAGCTCATGTGAAGCCCTCCTGGTTCACGCACACTCTATACAGCTCAGGCGGAGCAGACTTACGTGTCAGAATCATCAGAACTGGAGTCTTCGTGGCTCTGTTCAGCCTTCCACCTCTTGTACCTGTCAATGAGCTCAGTCAAGTAGGATGTTTTCTTTGCATTGCGTATTATAAACTTGTGCTTCAGTAACTCCTTAGCAGTGGGCCTCTGGAAATCCACCAACAAAGAAAACAGAAAAGCATGAGATGAAGTCCCTACATTCTACGTGATTCTACCCCGAAAGTCAGACTTAGTGACTCAAAATTCAAACAACTACACTAATATGAAAAGATAAAGTTGTACTTCAAATATTTTTTCCCCTAAGACTTACTCAAAGAATAGTCATTTAGCACCTGTGGGTGGGACTCTGTACAAAGAGGACATGGCGTTTAGTATCTAATGGGATCCTTAACGTTTTGCACGTAACCATCCAACCCAAGCAAGAGAACTCCCCCCAGATAAACGCATTTACACAGAAAATACTCCAGAGAATTTCGGAGATCATTCAAGAGAGCTAGAATATACCTCCTAGTTTTTATAAATCATTTTAATACAAATGCTGGCAAGTGAGAAAACACATGTTCTGTATTACCTTGTTAACTTCCTATATTAAATTTTGGTTCCAACCAAAAAAATCATTTTAAAAATCTTAATTTGGATCCACCTAGAGGAAACTAGAAAGGAGCCAGGAGATACCCTTTTCTTGGATGCTAAAAGTGTACCCAAGTTTAGTCATACAGCTCTCCAAATTTAGAAATGCTGGTTTTTCCAGTTCTGCCTCTTTCCTTGGGATCAGGGTGAGTACTTCATCCAGGCCTTGGGCTTAGCATGGCTACAGCCAGACAGAATGCTTTAAACTTGGCCAACTGTTTTGCTCTTGAGGTTGCAAACCCAATTACAGGGAACATGCTTCCCAAGGAAGCCGAGTAAAGCCCATTTACAGTAAACAACAGGAACACACAAATAACACGAGTAAGACTAAGTTCCCCACTTACTCCAAATTACTAAAGCTCTAGTAACAAGAGCTAGACATGTGTCTCAAATTTGAGCTTTTGAAAAACCTAGGCCACCTCTGGTATTTCTCAGTCTGTCCACATGATTATGAAACTCCAAGTATCTCAGAAGTGCTCATACTCTCAGCTTCTCATCCTCTTCAGTGTGTTTGCAGTCAAGGTAGGAATGGAGATGTGTACATGTGTACACTGGGCAAGTAAGCCAATACTAGAAATACGTTTTTAACGAGAAGGAGTGCATGTGTGTGAGTGTATCTTCTTGGGTGCTGGTGCTGGTGCTTTGCGACTAGGAATTAACACCATGATATAAAGAGCAGAGCATCGTGGCCATGCAGAACAGCAGCCCCACACCGCCTGAAGCCTGCCTCACATACTCTGCATCCCCTAGAGCTTCTTAGAAAATGTTGCACTCCTCCATTTAATTTCTTTATCCAAACTGGCATCATATTAGAAAACCACAGTGCTCTTATAATATTAATCGCCCATTTTTAGATAAGAGTTCATAAAAAGGAGGGGTTCAGTTTGGCCTTCAGCTAGCTAACCCTGCTGTAAAATTCACAAACAAAACAAAGACATAGGGTGCTATACACAACACCAAAATACACAGATAACTTTCAAAGAAATGTCCTAATTCAGAAAGAGAAATAGGCTAAAGCTACGTAGTTGTCACTGATACATGGCTCTGCTACGATCAACGAAACATCAAAGAAAGAAGAAGGGAAGTGGGGAGCAAAGTGGGTGGGTGGTTTATGTTTGATTTGCTTTTTCTTTCCTAACACATGTGAAGAATAAAGTTCCCCACTTACTGAAAATATTTACTGTAAAGACACATTTAGCCATTACTTTTCAGGCTAGACTTTGCAATTACTAAAAACAGCTTAATAGTTTACAGCCCTGACCTTCTACTATAAATATTAAAAACGTATGATTCCACATATATTAAGAATAGTCCTCAAGCTCAATGAGTATGAGATGCTAGAAACACTGAAAAAAAAATAATTTTTAATTGTTAAATAACAATAAAAACCTATTTGCAAAGCAAAGAAATCCATCATATTCATTTACAAAGAGAAAAAAATGAAATTGTGAAGACAGCTGACAATAGTGATTAAAGAAATTTCAGTAAGATGTATCTAGAACAAGTCAGTCCACGCACAAGGAAATGCCCGCCCTTTCCAATCTCATAAACTCACAAAGCTCGGCTCCTTATTCAAACAGGCCTCAACAAACTCCTTGAGGGGCTTGCTGTAGTTTCCTTCCAGTGTCGGGGGGTTGTTCTTTGGAATGAGGAACAAAACCTTCATGGGGTGCAGCTCAGAATGAGGTGGTTCACCTTTTGCAAGCTCTATAGCTGTTATGCCCAGAGACCAGATGTCTGCCTGCAACAACAAAGCATCTTTAGAGACACGCCAAGCGGGAGTTAATTCAAATAAATACGCTTTAAAAAAAAAAAAAAAAATACACCTCCGTGTACCTCTAAGGTTTTGAAAAGATAATTATTTAACTAAAAATGAAAAAATAAGCTTTTAGTTTTAATTTCAAAATAGACAACACATAGGAGAAAATTTAATTTACAAAATATCTTCTACCTCTCTGCTAAAGATGGCTTTTACGATTCTTCTTCCACTTACTGCTGGAGGAATGACACATTCAATTTAACTGAAGTCCCTGAGACAGTCTATAGGGATAGGTAATCAGAGGTGAGCAGAGAGGGCAGATATGGGCAGTGGAGGTGTGTCTGTGAGTCACCCCATCAAGCAATGCTTAGAACTAATGTTCTGATGTCAAGAATGGCCAGCCTGGTCTTGTGATGTTGGGTAAAATACCTAACCTGTGAGCCTAATTCCCTCATCTGGAAAATGGGAACAATAACAGTGTGGTTGTGCAAGGTGCCTTACATACCACTCAGAACTTGATGTTCAAACATAAAAAGCAGAGAACATTAGTCTTAGTATCATGTAATAATTAAATTTCTTCACTATTCAAAGTCTTTCCATAGTTAATTTTAATCAGGATCCAAACAAGGCGCATGTGCTACAACTGACTGTTAGATGGCCTTTAGGCTCTTTTAACCTGAAACAGTCCACTCCCGAATCTCCCCAGTGTCACTGACTTGAGGAAGAACTAGGCCCCAAAGTCTGGGTTTGTCTGGTTTCTTCCTGGTGTCATTTAATACATTTTTCTAGCTCCTATATTTCCTATCAAATACCCAAAGAGTTCATCAAACCTAGAGGCTTGGTTAGATTCACTGTTGGCAGGAATCGAGGGGTGCCATGTGGGGGAACCTGGAGTCTAGCTGCCTGACCCTGTCCTGCCCGCCCAGCATATACTTGCAGGCTCGCCTGGTCAGTCAGGTAGATGAAGTCGTTGATCATGTGTTATAAATGAAAAGAGTAGAAAGGTCTTAGAGGAATTCTAGTTAATGAGCCTTTCTCAGCATCTGGTACCAATCCCCATCAAAGATGACAGAAACTGAAAAAAAATGAAGCAAGACCACACAGGCCAGCAAAGCAGAACAGGGGCCGGAGGTGGAGGGCTAAAACTCTACTGTACTCAGTCTAGGATAACTTTTCTGCTCTTGTCACTGTGCGCTATGAACCTATCATAATTCCAGGCAATTAAGTTAGAACCTAATAAATCTGCATATTCATTCTACAGCCAGGAAATGGAAAGTCTGAAACACCGTGCAGGTCACTGCAGGACTTGGACATTTTCCAGCCTGCAGAGGATCACTTGCCATGATCCCACAATCCTAGTGAGTATGAGAAATCCTCACTACAACCTCCCCAGCAGTCTGTGGGATCGATGCCTACCACCTGTTCTACTCCCTTCTGTTCTCAGGGAAGGTGGGAGTGACTGTTGGCAAGCCCTCGTTCTAAATTCTTTGTACTAAACTTTACTATAAGAGGTCAGTCTGGATGAACTGGTGTCAAGAGTTATGTGCCTCTTTCCTTTCTCTCTGCAACTTCAACTCTGCTTTATTTAAAAAATCAGCAGAAATGTGACTTATTCCAGTCCTCGTCCCTAGGAAGGGGAAGATGGGTACACAGAAGCGTGCCAGCGGTGAGCACCTGCAACTGTGGCAGTGGCAGGAGGACATGCGTGTGCAGGTACAAGCAGAGAAGGTGAGATGCAAAAACAGATGAGGCAAAGATGACTGAATGCACACTCCAGTATGGCAGCGGCCCTTCACTCAACAGGTTCCTTTCTAAAGTCTATGATTCCACTTCTGTCTGCCTACTCCAGCCCTCTCGGATTGCATTACAGCTTTTGCTGTTTGCAAAGCCTGCTGCTCAGCACCAATCTGCCCCCTAGCCGTACAGATACAGGAGCTTTGTTCAGATGACCTCTGACAGATGCGCTTCCAGACCCCTACACATCCCATTACCACTTAAACACACTCCTTAACTAGAAGGCCCAGGCCGATGACAGTGTCTGCTGGCACTCATTTCCCTTAGCAGTCCGAGGGCTTGCTAACAGGCTCGCTAACGGGCTCGCTAACGGGCTCGAGGCCAGACAATAAGTGGACACGCAGCAAGACTCTGAGGACCTGGCACCTGCTTCCATCGGCCAAGATAGACCAACTAAAGTTGATTGAGGAAACAGCCTTTCCAACCCAACCTGTTATGCATCTCCATAGTCTTCAGAAGAGGCACGGCGTCGCTTACCTGCTTCCCCTGGGAAAGTTGCCAGCAGAGGCTTCTCAAAACAAAAGTTGTGCCAACTTCCCAGGCAGCCCAGCCAGGAACCCAAGTGTCATCCTAGCCTCTTGGAATTCTCTGGATCCTCCCGAATCAACCAGGTGCCAGGTAGGTGGCTCCTGACCTCTTGGCACCCTGGGTCCCTCTCTAGCCCTCTTGCCCTGGCTCACTCCCTGGGACTTGGATAAGGGACCCCTAAGTGTCTTCCTGCCTACAGGCTCCCCCTGCACACATATACCATCTCCTGACTAATTTGGAAAACTTGACTGGCACCTGAATAAATGGAAAGCAATTTGGCATAACCATTATGGTTTTAACATTCAAACTTGTTAAAACCAATTAATTCCGCTTTTAGGAATCTATCCTAAATAAATAATTCTAGATTTAGAAAATAGCATATGCTACCAAAAATATTCAATTGCATTACTTACGCTAAACCTTAGAGAAATGATTAAGTTGCTATAGCACATTAACTTATTAAAGTATCTTGTACGCAACGACGACATTGATAGAGAATCATAAACATAATTTAGTTGATCTATAGCTGTATCTGTACGGCATCACATTTAGAATGTGTGTGTTTTAACATAAAAGTTATGTGAGGGGAAAGACAATCATTTTCCAAGGCAATTAAAATTCAGGTATGAGAAAAGATCCATTTTCCTTCCATGGAAGACATGAAATTAGACATTAAGAGAAAACAAATAGAGGTTTTTCAATGTGAGCCCAACTCAAAAAATGTTAAGGGGCAAGTGCTTTGTACTGCAGATATTTTGTGAACAGATTTTCTCCTATGTGGACAGTTCTAGGTAGCATGTTCGTTCCTAAGTGAAAACACAGAATTGTTTGTTAATGATGATCAAGGACTCTTTCTCAATGCGGGTGACAGGTGGGGTGGGGTGTTACCAATATACGATAGTCTAAATCCTACCAATACCATGTTATGTATAAGCTGGCTACAAATCTGCAGACAATACAATTTAAGTGCCATAAAAAAATTATGTACAGAAGATACTCTAGAAGGAATCACAGTCAACTCTATAATCAAGAGGAAGAGGGGGGAAAATCATGGAGAATCCCAAATCACAGTAATAACTAGTCAAAACATAGCTCAAAATGGAGTTAATATAAACTAGCTACTTAATTAGATGTGATACCTAAGCAGCATATAGAGGTATTAAAATCATTTGCACTAAATAGCAGTAAATCAAAGGTTCATTTGCACTAAATAGCAATAAATCATAGGTTCATCCAGAAAGGCCCAATCATTATTACATGCTAAAACAAAGCCTGTTGTTAGTCTCCGGCTGGATGCTTTTTGCATTCACACCCTTCCTCCACCTCCAGGGCATTATAACAGAGACTGTGGGTAATTCCTGATCCCAAACAGAGAGACTAGGGAAGGCCAGAGGACTCAGCACAAGACAGGAAGGGACAGTCACATACTGCAGCGGACAGGCTAACTGTGCAGATTCCAGCAACCAGGAGTCTAATACTGCTGTGTTGTGACTCATCTTTAACAATTTTATTTTTTCCATCAACACATCACCTATTTCCATTTCCATATTTCCAATATGGTTTGATTGCAAATGGTTATTTCAGAGATGCCTGGACACCAAAATAATTTGGCTTGTGCTTGGGTGTTCTTTTCATCTCATTTTTTTCTATATTTTACAGATTAAAGAGTTATATTGCTTTTGAGGCCAAAAACAGAGTTATTTACAAGTGAATACTGACACCATACTCCTAGTGTCCGCAGGATGTCGTTTCACTTTAATAGGCAAGTCACCTTTCTCTGGCCTCATCTCCTACCATGTGCTTCACCACAATCTACAATCCAAATACAAATGTCTTTCCTTTCCCACACTGGACTTGGCCCGAACATCCTTCCCTTATCTTTGAGGGGCTGAAAAGCCCTATGTCTGTGACACCTTGCCCAGCTCATTCTGATGTCCCTCACTCAGCTCCCTTGCTCCCCCGATTACCTGTCAGAGTACCTGACACCCAGAACTGCAATTACTCACTGAAGATATAAATTATTTAGCACAGCACTGAGCACAATTACATGAAGACTGAATGAATGAGTAGAGAAAAAGGGACATGAAACAGGGGCAAAGTCTTTACTCAAATCCAATCCATCTGCTGACACACTGCCATAATAACGTACAAAGAAAAGGGAAAGAAAAAGATGTAAGTTCTGCAGCCCAAGACCCTGCTCTAGCATTGAAAACAAAGGCTTCTTTGTGGGAGAACAGTCATCTCCCTTGGCACTGTCTCCAAAATTTGGGGGCTTCTTAAACAAACCAAGCTACACTAAAAAACGATGATGACGACGGTGATGATAAAGGTTCTTAAGGCATAGGAGCAATCATAACTTAGTAATGCTGTGGTTAAGAGCTGAGATTGACAATAAGATGCTCTGTATGGGCAAACACATTCAGAACACCTAAGCAGCCCCGACAAATGACAAGGTGTCAAAGATACTGGTTCAAGGGGTTACTGTTTTAAACAAGGTTCTAGACATACACTCAAAGCTTAGGCTGATATTCCCTTCAGTTCAGTGAGTGGAAAGGCTAGTGAGGCAGGTGCATTCCTTTCCTCTTCGCACAACCCAACCTTCCTTTGAGAACCAGTGTGTGCACCCGAAGAGGAAACTGACGGGAGCATGCTCTCATAATGGCAGTAAAGGAACCTTGCTACCCTACAGCTATTAAGCTCTTTACCTGTAATGCAGAGACCAGTGGGAAAAATGTCTAGAAGTATACTCAAGAAAGAATGGGAGGGGGGACTGAAAGAAGACGAGTAAGTCACTAGAAAGATATTCCAAAAAGCAACCTCGGAAAAAGGCTCTTTGTCCTTGTCAGGCATTGCTCGTAACAAGAGCTGCTAGCCCAGAGTCATGAGGACATTAAAGTGTCTGTGTGTCGTGTATGTGTCCTTGTGTCTGTATGTGTGTGTTATTATTCTTAAGAGTCATGAGGATGTGTGTGTGTGTGTGTGTGTGTGTGTGTGTGAGTGAGAGAGAGAGAGAGAAAGAGAGAGAGAGAGAGAGAGAGAGAGAGAGAGAGTGTTGTGTGTGTGTCAGAGTCTGTGTGTGTGTGTGTGTCTGTGTGTCTATAGCATTATTCCTAAGACCTCAGCCACAGGAACCCACTTCCGATAAGCCTCAAGACTCACAGACATTAGCCTTATCTGCACTTTCCACACCTCCTGGGTCAACAAACCTGGGAAGTAAATTTCACATAAACATATTTTCACACATGATTTCCAGTAAAGAGTCATGTGGAAAATTGAAAAAGTTAAAAAAATACATTCTTTGATAGTCACTGGGTGTGATCCAAACAAATGAAAGATTTAGCTTTTGACATAAGCCAGAATTAAACGTAATTAAAGGTTAGAGAAAAATGTGACCATTTCTTGAGGCCTCAAATCAAGTGTGCATTCCTACTGAGTTTGAGAAGGCATTTTTTGATTTACCTAAAAAGAATACTGCAAATCCTACTGATCAGATAAAAGCACTTTGATCTTGACAAGAACACCAAGAAAAAAGATGGCAAAGCTTGATGATGCAGTAAAAACTATGCTGCTCAGAGGCCGCCTTCAGCAAACAGCTAGAGAAGTCCTGCACTGGGGGAAAGACAGGGAGGAAAAAGGTCTCGGGTAACCTGGACAATTCTTGAAGAAAAACTGTGAAGTGAACAATGATAGGTAACAGTGAAAACATAAGATCTGAATCCTGAGTCACATGTACCAGTTGACTAACTAATTTACTAGGAAGAGAATAATGAGTGTGATATAATCAGATGAGTTAAGAACCTGGATTCCAATCCCTACCAAAATCTAGATCTATGAACTTTGATAAATGAATCTCAGCTTAAAATTAAGAGCATACTCTGAACACGTAAGTTTCTGTCAAGGCCTAAAATGATACAACCATACGAAAAGGGCCCATAGCAAAAGTGGCTGCAGGTATTGGAAGTGGCTATGGGGGTAATCCACACATCAGACAGGGCAAAGCAATAAGCAACAAACATGCCAAGGACTAGACAGCTCTGTTGTCATGATGGTTGAAAACCTAATAGTTACTTACTGGCCAATGGCCACTAAGGCCATGAGGATGCCTACAGGAGTCATGGCCACCATTACAACTCAACAGTGGGATAGCCAGGTCCACCTTGAAATGCTGGAAGGAACACCTGCAACTTCAGCACAACACTGACACTTTACAGTAGTCGATGGCTCAAAATGGCAAGTCTACTGTATATTGAAAAGATTTCCATTTAAAGAGAACAAACCATATTTGGCATGTAAATGTATCGGTATCTGAGTTATATATTTGTTTGCCTGGAAATTTTGGTCCAGAAAAGCCATTTCTCTGTGGACCATGTGTAGATTTTACTGTGTACAGGCTACTGAGAAAGCAGCCTATGGGGTATGGGAATTAAATCAGAGACCCAGGAAGCAGGGTCCCTAGGTTTTTTAGTCTAAAACTGCAACATAAGAAAGTTGCAGGACAACAGAGAAAAAAGAACATAGGAAAAATTGGGAAAATATAACATATGACAGGTAAAGGACGAAGAAAGAAAGGAATTACAATTTTACCTCATGTTTGTAAGGAACCTCTGAGAAAAATGATCTTAATTGAGAACTAAAAATCATGACAGGAAGAATCTGCAGCAATCGCTAAAAGCATTATTCTTTCCAGATTCTGATCTTTTATTTTTGTGAGCTCTCCATTTCTCTTGTGGGACCCTCTTTCTGTACTTGTCCCTTAAATATAGTTCAGAGTCCTGTCCAAGGCCGCCTCCCCTCATCCGCACCACTCAAGTCTCAACCACCACCTGTACAGACAACCTCCCAGCCCTCTCTGTGGTCCCACATCCCCACCCTGCTGGAGGCCTCTACCTAGACTTCTCAACAGGGTGACCCTGGCCACCACCTTCACACCTGCTCCTTCTCAGTGTTCACCACCACCAAGCAGACACTGTTTAGCCTAAAACAAAAAACCTCACTAACTGCAACTGGATTAAGGGCATTAAATGATGAAGCAGAAGACAGAGACCTGTTTTTAACCACAGTCTGAGAACTACCTTTATGACCTACTTCAAGGTACCAGCCCTCGCTTCAACTGGAAAAGCAATAATGTAAAAGTTAAAAAGAGAGAACTCTCCAGACTCAATGAACTTGAAGGACTGGCCCTTACCTTTGAGTCATAGGCTGACTGTTTAATGACTTCAGGTGCCATCCAGAAAGGGGTGCCCACGAAGGTATTTCTTTTTATCTGTGTATCTGTCAGCTGGCCTGCCACTCCAAAATCGGCCAGCTTCACCTCTCCATGTTCAGACAGCAAAACATTGGCAGCTGCAAAATAAAACCAAGATGCCTTCCGATATCATCTGCTATACTGTTCTGTCCATTATCATTTGGGAACATGTGCATTCTCTCCCCAGCGAGATAATGTGCTCAACAAGAACAAGTTTTTGGGTTAGACTTTTGGGTTAGACTCTTCAAAGCCAACCCATCCCCAGAAATGTTGAAGGTACTCCATAGATACACATAAGACAACTTCCCTTGAGAAGCACAGTTTAATTCAACAGTATGTTCCTACCTGTCACCTTAGGTATTTCAAAAAAATATAAATAAGATGTTGTCTTACCTTTAATATCTCTATGAATTTTCTTCTCCGAATGCAAATAATCAAGTCCTTTCAGTATTTCTCTTAATATAGTAGCAATCTGCGTTTCATCTAAAGGGCCAGGTTCTAACTAACAAAAAAAAAAGGTATTAACGTTACTTAAATGATTATAAGAAGTTTGAGATGATAAAACAGTCAATATCTATGTTAAATGCACAAGAATAACTAAAATCTAAAAACTTCTTTACTCCAAAATATATTGTCCAAACAATTTTAAAAAATAAAAGGCCCTAAAAAGAACAAAAAACCAGAGAAAATGACTTTGCTGAATAAAGCAAAGCTAAGAATCAAAATAGGCCAGTGAGAAAGTTTGTGTTAAGCCCCACTGTGCCTGCAAGTTGAGCTGTGAGGGATTTTAGCCCAGAAAGCAAGAGCCCAGAAACTTACAGTACTTGCTAGGGAGACTAGAGTATAAAGTAGCTTGGCTCTGTCCTAAAATACGTAATGGTTATCAAAACACAAATGGCCCAAAAGAGAAAGCCTGGGAGCCCACTGCTTTCTGAGGCTACCACTGCACCAGAATTTAAATCTAAATTTTAAAACTTGGGCAAAGAGAGCTGAAAGAACTTACTCTCTAATGATTTGGGATTTTTTATTATATGTGATCCCAAATGAGGTAACAATGGCCTCTGAAAAGTTTTATTCTGAGAAACTCAAAGGAATTAACATTGACTCAATATTCATAATTGTTGAAAGACATAAGGAAGAAATGTCAAGTGTACATATTCCTTTAAAAAAGGGAAAAAATAAGACAAGTTCTAGATCTCGGTTCAAACTGGATAAGACCACCATCATCTGTAGAGCAAAGAATTCAATCACAACTAATCAGATAAATTACAGCAAAACCACTGAACACTCCCTAAAGAACTAATAACAGAACCATGAGAGGGGCAGAATTCTAATAATTTAGATTAATTCTTCATCTGAATAACGATCTTTGGTATATTTTCAGATTTGACAATGAATGCCATCATAACCCAAATTCATACATTTTAGTCAACAGAAGACACAACCCTATGGCGTTCACTAAGTATGTTTTAAAAAGATAGATGTGCTTTTAAACCAAAGGGAATAAAAACTAACACACTCCTTGTAAGGTAGAGTTCTGACTGATGCTTGTACACATTCTCAGCCAGTCCTACTGTGTGACTCAGGGCCTTCGCTGGGATAATGGTGACAGAACAGTCGTTTATGGGGCCCAACGCAGAAACAACCAAGACACCCCATTCTCGCTTCACTGCAGCTTTACTCATGCCTGACACTGCTTCTGGTTCATCTAGCAGGCTGTGCTCTCTGCTCACTGGCCCAACTTGGCCTACACGAAATCCACAAAGTCTGGGGAAGAGGGGAAGGTGTCTCGTTCTCAAAGCTCTCCTAACATGTTGGCCTCAATGAGACTCCAGCTTCTCCGGCAGCAGAGCACACCCATGATGAAGCAGCTACTCAGCTTTCTCACCTTCAGAACACATGAATGAGAGAATGTGCTGCTTTGGTTTTACTGTGTATTATATGCTTAGAGAAGGTCACACTGCATTGGTCAACTAGCCTGCCAGGAAGTATCTCAAATTCTAATTAAATACTATCAAAAAATTAGCTCAAACGAGAAAAGACGTCTCATGTTTTATTCCACAAAACCAAATTTTTTCCAGTTATCTGACCAAGAGTCTTATTTTTTAAGAAACATACATTAAAACTACTGTTCCAAAGAGCACAATCTGGAAATACTGCCTGCCTGCCTGCCTTCTCCACATCTATTTTTCAGTGTTCATAGCAAGAGACATTTTAATACTCAAAATGAAGAAAAGACACTTTGCTCATAACATGGGGAAAAAAGAGGGCAGCGATGCTGGCGTATTTGCTCTTATTCAGAACACCAGAACCAGAAGGATAATCCAGTTGTTCAAAATCGTATCACAGGGTACAAGTTCCATTTCCTCCTCCAGCAGGTTTTTACTCAAGCAGATAATCATTAACTTTTGCTAGAGGGGCTTAACCACCTCCACCCTTCCATTATCAAGTCTCTGGAAAGAAACAGAACAACAGTCTGGTGTCATTAGCAAGGGAAGATAAGAAAAAGACCTGAGAAAAACTAATTGAAAAATCTACCCCTGGATAACTGAGAGATCTCTCTCTCTCTCTGTTTAATATATGTATGGTTATGTCCTTTTAAATCTGGCATAAACACTGCCCACCAATGATTTGTTTGCCATAAGGGTGGGGGCGGGGGGAGGTACTCTATTTACTCAGGGTAGGGGCTGGAGGGGGGTCCTTCTTTGTGTTAAAATTCACGATAAAAGGTTTTCAGTTGCTGTCTACACAACACAGATCCTATTAGTGGATAAGACAAGGCTGAGTCAAATTCTCGAAAGTCATATATTAGCATTCTCCACCATTACCATTTCTAAGCTCTGTAAGTGTGGCAGTCTCTATCATTCATAGAGCTGTGGAATCTTCAAATAATCTTTATAAAGGAAAGACTCCTAGGAAAAAAAATTAGGCTGTATCTCATCTCTGGGTGACTTCTAATTCCCTTTCCCCAAGTCTGTTCTCTCTTTCCTCTGCACATAGCTGTCACCCAACAAGAGGCCACATATGCCAACCTCTACAGCAGTAAGTTTGTCCACATGACTAAGTTCTCACCACTGGAATACAAGCAGAAGTGACAGACACATGCCCCTCACATGGTCTTGGCCTTGAAACACTGGCAGCCAGAGAAGAAAATGACTGAAGACCATGGGAAGCCATGGGTTACAGATGGTAGAGCCACCCACCAGTGCAGGTCCCTGATAACCATGTGGACTATAGCCCAATGACCCCACATGTGGGAGAGAAATAAATTTCTATCTTGTATGAGACAGTCTGGACCCACTACAATAGCAGTTTCACCTAAACAATGAATATGCCATCTCATTTTGAAAAAAACACATTACAGATACATTTTTAAGTTTGTCAAATATCTCTATGTGGTATCGAATTTTTAATGTGACAATATTCTGGTTTTTAAAATCTGTTATGAACTTATAATAGACCCTCTCAAAATAGTAATGTTTTCAATATGCAAAAAACAATTGTTTTATCCCATTATTAGAGTGTGTCCTCTTCTTTGAGGATTGGGGGCAGGCCAACAGAAAGGGGTTAAGAGGCAGAGAAAGACAAAACGACGTCAGAGGGAGGAGAAGGACAGCCTAAGCTCAGGGAAGGCCTCGGCTTTGTACCTGGTCACAATGAGATCCAAAGTCCAGCTCTATTTGCTAGCTGGGACACCTACCCTCTGAGTGTCTATTTCTTCATCTTGATTAAAATGAGATGGTTAGGGACATCCAAAAAGGGATGTCCAGTTCTTGTCACCAGGGCTATTGATGTGTAAGGTGGATGGCAGTTTGCTGGGACTCTCATACCATATGAAATTTTTTTTTAAGTGGAGAGTTCTATACTTCCTTCAACTGTAATGTCTAAAATTTCACAGAATTCAATTCAAAGCTCCAAAGAAAGTTATCAGTAAATAAATTAAATTATTGTGGCATTAAAATGAATAAATTAAAGCATTTAGAGACTAGAATTGCTTCTCTGAAGGACTCAATGTTGGAAGAGTCCCCACAAATAACTTTATATATGCCAAAAATGAAATTCACTTAATAGGAAATCAAATTACACAAAACGAGATAATTTTCTACATTCTTATAGTATTTCCCAAAAGAATTTTAAAAAATGAAGAGTTCTTTGTGCAATGTGTATATTATGGAAAAGAAGCCATGCATGTCAAAATTTTGGCTATTTTGTTGCCTTTCTCATTTTAATATAATCGTTTATACCATATTATTTTTTCCTTGAAATTTCCTCTGAACATCATTTTGACCAGTTGCTATTATGGTTTATAACATTATATGATTTTTTTTTTAAATTAGGTACATAAGTCTTTTAGAGAAACATGTAGTTTTTCAGGGTTACCTTCCCAAAAAACTACCAACTGCTACTATTGCTATGAGAAAGAAATCTGTAATCGAAAGGTATTTCTTGATGAATAAAATCTATGTCGATTGTGTAACGATTAAAAAACACCAGTTTCTTTCAGTTCTCAGAGCAGTAAAAACTACAGACCCATCATCCTGACAACTTCCTATCAGGCAGGATCCACCCTCTAACGCTAAAATGATGGGTTAGTCCTGTCTTGGAAATCATCACTCACCCCAAAAGCCCAGCTTTTACATGATGGGTAGAGAAAGAAAGCTGATTATATTAAGTTCACTTGCATGACCACTGTGGGGACAAGCTACTGAGCACTTAACTGTGTGAGTTCCTTTAAGAACTTGCGTTGTATATACTGTGCTTTAAAGACAACTTGAGCAATGCTTATGGTTCACTGGTTGTTTGAGCATCTTCTCAAAGGCCAAGAGAGAACCATGTTTGACCACAAGAAGCAAGTGGCAGACTGTGACTTCGAGGTCATTCTATATCTAGTTACCATTATCTTGTGTGGAAGGTAGTGGCACACACTAATGGCAAAGTAGGCTGTGGCCAGGTTGATGACACAGCCATTGGTGCCAGTCCAGTTCCACCCTAAACGCACTGCATGGCGGGACCACTGCTCTGATATGTGACATGGTACTGCGATCATCACACCCTGCCTGTAACTTACTCCCGAAAACAAATTTTAATTTTTAAAAATTTTAATTATAGATTAAAATATTACCTGCATATTTTGGAAGCTAAGTTACATCTGAAACTTGAAACAATGACAGGGCAGCAGCTCTACAAAAGTTAAAACCAGTTTTGGAAGACTAACAAACTGTTCTTAGGAACGATAACGACAGGTAAAAATCCCTCTTGGCTTTTATGAATGAATTCATTTTTTTCCCCAAGAAACATCAAAACTGGTTTCAAAAGAAGACCTATAATTCCCAGTAATATATCAGAAACAGAAATACATATTATAAGATATAGTTTGATTCATTTTTCATGGAACTTAAAAGAGTGAAACAGAAATTAATAAACAGAATTTTCTTTAAAATCAACATTTACTGAGAAGAGCTTTAATGTGTATTAAGCATCTGACATAATACTTACTAGATCGAGTGCAGAGCCTCCACCAAGATATTCCATTATTATCCACAATTTAGTATCCTACAAAAATAAAAAAGGGGAAAATTACTGTAAAAGCAAACAAAACCAGAAAAAAAATTTAAATAACTTAAGGGTATTTTTTCATTGTTTTGAAACTAGAAAACTTTATAAATACATATATGTAACTGAAAATGTGTGTCCAAGTGAGTCCTATGCACGAAAACCTGTCCTATGTCAGAGGCGGGGCTTTCACAGTCTAGCCAGGGCCCCTGCGTCATACTCTTTCTAGGCAGTGTATTCAGACCTACTGAACCAGAATCTCTGAAGGCAGGACCAGGGAACTAAGGGGCGGGGGGTCCATTCTTAAACAACTTCAGTCAGTGATGCACAGGCACCACTTCTGAGACTCAGTCCCCAAAGCCAGTCAAAGCCAGCAGCAGTCACACAATTATAACCCTGGGTGTCAGCCAGGAACTACCCTGAGCACAGGAACTCCCTTCCTGTGGACTGCAGCTCTAAGACGCAAGGACTGTGAGCAGAGGGAAAGGCAATAAGGTGGGATGGCCAGCTAACATGAGTTTCGTAGAAAGGCAGCCACTTTCAGACACCCCCAAAGACTACCGTACTCTTCAGGGAGCTTTCCAAGAAAGTAGGCCCCTGCTTAACTAAACTTTGTGTCTGAGTCCTCTTAGCCCCCACCTCACCAGCCTGGTGAGGTACCTTTCGTGATTCTGTCTTTTCCCTTTGTCTCTCATTAAGCCACTCAACCCCCATGACTTCCAGAGTTCTCTTCTCAAACACAAACAAGCAAGCAAGGAAGCAAATATCTGCAGCGCTCTCCAAGAGGGAGTGTCTGTGTGATGGTCAGGAGTACACACGGTTTGGATCCTGACCCTTCCTTATAACCTGAAGGGCCCTGGGAAGTTATTTCCCCTCTAAGCTGAGTGCTTAGCCAAGCACCAGAATGACAGCGCCAGTGGCAAATAACCCATCAATAATACTGGTGGTGGCTAACCCATCACGTGCCAGTGGTGCTCTGCTCTGCTCCACTCCGCTCCCAGGAAGCTATGCTCATAGGTGTGCTCACAGCAGCAAGCTTCACTGCTAACGCCATACTTTACGGTAACCTTCATCTGCGTCAAGAGAATAGAAAAACAGAATCTGTCCAATGCTCTTTGGTACCTTCAGGATGGAACTGAGCTCTCACTCTTCAGAACACCCCAAGGAAGGCCCCTCTGCCAGGCGCCCACCCACTCTCCATGATTCTAGCAATAACGACTGACTGAGCTAGCTCTTGGGAAAGTGTCAGTTTCTCAGGGCTTTTCACCTCAGCAGTTTCCTCCATCAAACAAACCTTCACCTACTGCACACATGGTGCAAACTTTTGCTTTAGCACCTATTGGTCTGATTTTCATGTCAAGACTTACTTGTCTATGTTTCCCACCAACAGCAAATTGAATGCCATGGGACAGTGCCTGGCACGCTCAAGTTCAGAGAAGGTTAATTATGGTGCTCCGTAGTCAAGAAAGGGTAAATTATATTGACTGTGCATCCGCTTCAGGGAGGCACTGATGCATGCACTGCATAAAATGAATTACTTTTAAAATATAAAATAAATTCTGACGTAGGAAGTCGATTCTATATACTAACAGTCCAAGTTTGACTATATACGGAATATTTTCTCAGGCTTTTAAATGCCCTTAACTACTAATATGATGAAGACAATTTCATTCTAGATTGGAAAAGGCACAGAAGCCTTAAATCATGTGTTGGGATCCATCCTACAGTTACAAAGATTTCACACACTTAATAACCATCCAGTCACGGGTACCTGCCTTGAACAGACTCAATCACCTCCTGGTTCTGATTTAAAGAGAACTTCCTATCAGAAAGAGCATTCTACAACCTTCCTCTCATTTCACATATACACTTTGCTCCTGGAGAACATTTGTGTTACTCCTTCCAGACATTCTGAAAGCACCTTGTCAGATTGCTAGAAATAAACTATTCCAGGGAACGACTAATTTCACTTTCAATGACACGAGAAATTTAAACTGTTTTTCTGTAAGAGAACTTGAACTTCAGATTTCTACTCCTATTCCCCTTTTTATGGCACTATTTGACCCAGCTCCCAACCCTTTTATTATTTTACGAGCACTGAGAGCAAATTTGTTAGAGCAAGATAAGCGCTCCTTCGACAGGTAGGTAATCTCTCCTCGCCTCACTCCTCCATCTGCAGGGAGCTGTGCAGTAAGACACGCTGGAAAACAATCTTGGCTGACTCTGGAGATAAGCGTGTCACCACACTGCTTCCTGGAACAGCAAGACACAAGTGACCACACCTCATCTGCCATTCCAAAGCTCCACACTCCTAAATACCTACTGGGCTAACTACCAAAGAAACAAAATAACCTTTTTAAAATACTACTTTTGCTCCCTTTGCTGTATCTACCACGAGGATGAAAACCATTCTCAGCAATCACACTGCTGACATTACAGAAAATGTGGATATCACTCTGAAGGGACACGCTCCCTTTGCTGTATCTACCACGAGGATGAAAACCAGGATGAAAACCATTCTCAGCAATCAGACTGCTGACGTCACAGAAAATGTGGATATCACTCTGAGGGGACACATAGTTACTGTGAAGGGCCCCAGAGCCACTCTGTGGAGGGATTTTAATCACATCAATGTAGAACTCAATCTTCTTGGAAAGAAAAAGAAGAGGCTCTGGATTGCCGAACAGTGGGCAAACAGAACTGACTACTGTAGGCACCATCTGCAGTAACGAACAGAACATGATCAAGGGTGTTACACTGGTTTCCGTTACAGGATGAGGCCAGTATATGCTCACTTCCCCATCAATGTCGTTATTCAAGAGAATGGTTCTCTTGCTGAAATTCAAAATTTCTTGGGTGAAAAATATATCCACAGGGTTCAGATGAGGTCAGGTGTTGCTTGTTCAGTATCTCAAGCCAAGAAAGATGAGTTAATTCTTAAAGGAAATGACACTGAGCTTGTATCCAATTCATTTATTTTGATTCAACAAGCCACAACAGTTAAAAACAAAGATATGAAAACTTTT